AATATTCCAACAATTATAATCTAGTTTTTATCATTAAACACGTTTTTTTTTAATTTTGGAATTTTATTTGCTGTTAACAATTTTGAGAATATCTTTTTAAAATTAAGAAAGTTAAAATTTACAGTGGAAACACAAGAAATCAAAACTATTACATCTTTTCTTATTCTGCCAAAGAGTAATGTTAAAGCTTTTGATCACTTTATAAATGTAGGAGTAATAATTGAGCAAGAAGTAATAATAATCATTCCAATATTATGGAAAGTTGAATCAGTCTTTAGCACTTAGCACAATTGGATTGGTGAATATTAAAAAGTATTGAAAAATTGTATAAAAATTAAACTTCCATCTGGTTTATGATTTTTGTTCTTCAATATTTTGCATATATATAAATTAAACTTCCATCTGATTTATGATTTTTGTTCTTCATTATTTTGCACATATATAATATAAAGATTGTTTTGCTTTTAAAATAATTTTCAAAATAGAATATTTGAAGCAATAGAATTTAAATTAAATATTATAAGCACAAAGTGCCCCTGATCTAGACCACTTGTTAGATATATAAAAAGTTTTTATATATTTCAAATAAATTGTCAATTTAAAATATATCTTATCCCCAACACCATCAAACTCATGATAAATTGATTATTCTTTCCATTAAGTTTTTTCAATATCCTATCTAATATATTCATTAATGCAGTTAACATAATAAATAATTACCATGACTACATATCTGAAATATTGTTACACTTGTGCAGAGTATTTCAAACAATTTCTCAAATCAGTTTCAAAGTTTGCATTACACAGACATAATAATATGCTCTATCTGCCAGTAGGTCACAGCTAATACAATCAATTTAACTGGCCTATCTTGAAACAGATAATAAATATATAATAAATAATAATTATAATCAAATAATAATCAATTAATAATGAAGGCACAGTGAGTAAGGTGGAGTAAAAGCAATTAACACAGTATCAAACAATATTTAATAATATTTCACAATATTGACACAAGATATAAGTTTATTAAATATAATTATAAGTTTTAAAAGTAAAGTATAAGTCAGTGACAGAAATATTATCATGTGTTAGGATGTCTATTTTACTGTCCCTGAAATAAGTTTACTTTTCTATCTAATAATAATTCAAATGTTTTGAATTATTCTATAATAATATGTATTAATTAATTAACTAGCTGGTATAATCTTTTGTCCTTTTCTTTCTCTCTCTGACTTCTTAAACTTACACTTGACAACAATCATATTTATACTTTATCTTTTATTTACACTTCATCCTTCAGCTTTGTACTTCATCCTTTATCCTTTGTGTGTCATCCTTCATCCTTTATCCTTTATCTTTGTGTTTCATCTTTCATCTTCATACAGTCATCACACTTGGGATGACAATTACCTGAATGTTCATCTAGTGTCACAAATTATCATCCCCAATGACATTTCACCTGATTACTGATTTGCATCACCACAATATATCATTTTATTACTTTATGACAATTAGTATTTTGAGTATCTTGAATAAATTAATCAATTGCATCAATTCCACTTGTCTATTTATCAAAATAATTTTAGAAATACATTTAATGGCACAGTCTGTACCAATAAATGTAGTATTTTTTATTGCATTCTGAGCATATTAGTCATTTTCCATTCTCTTACAATGTGTAATAAGGAATTTTATTTTTTTAAAAAAAAAAATAATAATAAACAAAGGTTCTGGAAAAATTTTGTGTATTTTTAGAAAATTGCTTATGATTACCAGTAATGTTGATTTTTGTCACTGGACAAAATTAAATTTATGTGGCAAAGTTAGGTTTAGAAAATTATGATTTTACTCTGGTGGTATAAATTCAACACCAGTGAGCTTTAGCAATGACCCATTTTTAATTCAATATTTTAATAATAATAATAATACTTTTTTTATAGATTGATACCTTATTATATTGTATAATGTAATTTTTATGCAATTGAATTTTATTATTGATAATAGGGACCAAGAAAAGTAATTATAATAAAAACTTTGCCAATGAAAGGATTGAAATGATAATAAATGATAATATTATTAATAATAATTATTTTATTATTTTCTAATTTTTTGGTGTTAATTATTTAAGCTCCTTCAATATATGTGTGTTTAAACTATTAATATGTAATATTTTTATTGAAATTACGTTTCTTTTAAATAGTGAATTTTATTAATTTTAATACCATATTTTATTAAAATGGATAATTTTATGTGTTTATTCTCTGTTATTAGCAAATAAACTCTGTTGGCAAGAATCTCACAAGTCCTTAGTGAAAATAAATTACATTATGTGCTAGAGTTTTGAAAATTTTATATAATAAAATGCTAATTTCTCCTTTATTGATGATATTATTTTTCTTATGGTTGTTATAATTAAACAATTAGCAGATCATTACATAGACATTTTGATCATGTGCTGAATATCAAATTACAATTAATAAAATTTTATGTTTAATTTGTTTAATTAAACTATATGATATGACATACTGTCAAATTTTCAATAAACAATTTAAATTCGAAGGTTTTTAAAAATGAAAAATAAATATATGTTTAACTTAGAAAATTTTTAGATTTTATTGAAGGTTCATTCTTCTTGAAGATAAAAATTTCTTTTATAAAAAATTCTTAATAATAATACTCATAATTTACAATTATTTTATTGTTCAAGTCAATTCATCAAGTGACAAAAATTGAAGGTGTCAATTCCACTTTAAAATTAAAAAAATGTAATAATAAATAAGTTCTTCACACAAAACAAAAAAAATGTACACACAATTTAATGTATTTAATTTCAGACAAACATTTCCTTCAAACTTTTAACTAATTGAATTTCTTATATATCATCATTTAAATTTTAATTGTTCAATTTCTTGATCTATTTAAAACCTTTTCACTTTGAACTTTGAAAGCAAAATAACACGCAAAGAGTATAAGAACAATAAATTAAACTGTTTAAATTAGAGACACGGAAAGATATAATTTCGCCAGTTGTCACATTATGATTAAACTTTGGTAATTATCAAAATAAATATTAAAAATTTTGGATTTCTTTATTCTTTCTTAAAGATCTAGTCTAATTAAAAATAAATCTAATTATTCTAATAATAAATCAGATCCTATTAATCTATAAATAAATTAATTAATTATAATTCCTAAAATTAGCTATTTCAATTGTATTTTTTTAACTTATAAAAAATTTTCGGAATAAATAGAATAAATATGAATATAATTTTTCAAATTTATAGTTGAAGATGTTCCAATGCCATAAAGACAATGAAATAATGGATTAAATTGTATTAATTTCAGAGCAATTTAAAGTAATGCAAAGAATAGGTTAATCTATTGATTTCATTTTCATATTATAATTAGACTTATTTGTTTAATTGGTTGACTAATATTTCCTATTCATTTTTCCTCAAATCTTATATAATATCTTTCACATCTACCCCACCATAAAATCTACAATAAAATAATTATCAAAAATTCAATTGATTACAATGATTTGTATCTTTAGTCGTTGGCTTATCATGAACCCACCCATAAAATCTACAAAATCAATATAAGGATGAGAATAAATTAATAATTAAATATCAATTAATATTAATAAATTAATAAAATATTCACCCAAAACCAAAAGTTTTTCTTGATTACAATATAATCAATAATTAATATTTTGATTTGCCACTAGCCCACCAATAAAATCTACAAAATTAATATAATGATGAGAATAAATTAATAAATTAATATTAATAAAATAAATTAATAAATACTTACCCACCTCGAATTAAGTTTTTCTTGGTTACAATATAAAATCTATAAAATTAATATAGTATTAGAATAAATTAAAAAATTATTAATATTAATTAATAACTAATTAATAAAATATTTACCTGTAATTTGAATGATTTTTGCTTGATTACAATATAATCAATGACTTATATCTTTAGTTATTAATTTACCACTAATTTATAAATGTAGATAAAATCTAAAAAATATTAAGATAATGCAAATAAATTAATAAATTAATATTAATTAACAATAATAAATTACCAAATATATACCTGGAATTCAAAAGATTTTTCATGATTACAATATATCAATGAATTATATCTTTAGTCATTAATTTATCATTAACCCATAAGTGTGGATAAAATCTACAGAATGTTAATATAATGTTGCAAATAAATTAATAAATTAATATTAATTAATATAAATAAATTAATAAAATATTTACCTGGAGTTTTCTATATACAATCATAATGGAAATGAATTCCTTTCATTTTGACAATCCAATCTGCATATATGTGTGTGTATGTGTGCATGTGTATATATGTAACATATTTACTGTAAGAACTGGAGTGAAAATTCTTTTCTTTTTAAAATTTTATATTTCATTTTTGTTTGCTAAAAATTTATAAAAATTGGTTGATTAAGTGTTTCTATATTAAAAATAAATCAAAAATTCATTTACAGATATAGAGGTGATTAAAAAATTAGAAATATACTTTTTTAAGTTACCTTTTATCAAGAAACTTTAAATTATGGTGATGAGGATAATACAAAATCTTTTCTTAGACACCAAATTAATGGCAGCCAAGAAAAATGAAAAACCACATCAAGTTAATGACATGGCCTTCCTTTAGACACCAAATTAATGGCAGCCAAAAGAAGTAAAAAACCACACTAAATGAATAGCATGGCCTTCCCTTAGACACCAAGTTAATGGCAGCCAAGAAAAGTAAAAAAACCACACCAAGTTAATGGCATGGCCTTCCTTTAGACACCAAATTAATGGCAGCCAAAGAAAGTAAAAAACCACACTAAATTAATAGCATGGCCTTCCCTTAGACACCAAATTAATGGCAACCAAGAAAAGTGAAAAACCACATCAAGTTAATGACATGGCCTCCCTTTAGACACCAAATTAATGGCAGCCAAAGAAAGAAAATCACACCAAATTAATGGTATGCAAAAATTAAAGCACCAATTCCATAACTAAGAGCACCAGCCATCATTCCAACTACTGTAGTAGTAACATTTTCCCATTTTTTACACTTAGCAATGTGGGTTTCTAAAACTTTTACTCGCTTTTTAAGCTTTCTAAGTTCAGCAATTGTTGAATCATCATTATTATTATCAGTTTCATTATACCTGCGCTTTCTAGTAGGCACAGTAATCCAATTGCTGCCAGTAGTGATTCTAACAGTTGGTCTCTTTCGAATAGGAATGCTGAGAAGAACTTCAGAAGATTTGTGAATCCCATTAACACTGTTATTGTCAATAACAGGTTCCTAAAAATAATAATAATAGTAAGTATTTTTATATTAAATAAAATTTAATTTGAATAGAAATTGTACTTACCTCATCATTCAAATTAAATTTAGTTAACCAACTATTTCAAGAAAGGAAAAAATTTGTTTAAATAATGATTTTTTATAATTATAAAAAAAAATACAAATAAGTTACCTATGGGATTTGATCATTTCCATATCACACCTATCTGTTGGATTAACAACCAACATCATTCTCAACAAATCTTCTGCTTCTGAACTTATATGTTCAGGAAATGTCAATGTTGTTGCACTAATGTGTGCATAGAGAGCTCTAATACCATCAATACCTTCAATTTTCTCATTGGAATTAAATGGATAAGCTCCTACCAACATGATATATAAGATAATGCCGCAACTCCAGATATCAGCAGCTCTTCCAGCATAAAGTCCCTCTTGCAAGATTTCTGGTGCAAGGAAATAAGGTGTTCCACAAGGACTTCCTATTCGATCAGAATCTTCAAATTTTCTCGCGAATCCAAAATCTGTAATAATTAGATTTTGAGCTGCATCTAATAATAGATTCTCCTATAATAAAGTAAAGAAATATATACATTATTACTAATGTTATTAATATTATTATACTATCAACATGGATTAATAATTTACTGTAATATAAATATAAATTTACCAGCTTAAGATCACGATATAAAATATTCCCTTGGTGCAAATAATCAACTCCTTGAATAAGCTGCTTAAAAAGTCTGCAAGCTTCTACTTCATCCAAGTAGTGTCTTCTTTCAACATAACTTAAGAGCTCACCTCCTGAAAAAATCGAAAATATAATTTATATATTAATTAAATTAATTAAATTAATAATATCTAAATATTTTTAATTATGATTACCTGGAATATACTCAAGGACTATTCCCATATAATCATTTATTTCAATAACATCTATTAACTTAATAATACTAGGATGTTGTACGCTCTAGATATTTCAAATTGGTTAATTTAATAAATACAATTAATACAATTATATTAATCTTATAATGATAAAAAATTACAGCAATAATAAATACCTTTAAAATATCAATTTCTCTTTTAATACTTTCAATATTAGTTAACTTGGAAGATCCAACTCCTTTATGGATCAATTTAACTGCCACCTTTATATGAAGTAGTATATTAATAATAATGAGAGAGGAAAAAAAAAGTGGTGAAATTACAAATTAATATATTAATTAGTATTTATGAATTAGCAATTATTAGTTCATTAATAATTTGGCATATTAATAATTATAATATTGGACATTAATAAAATGTACCACTTGGGCCCAATACCACAATGAAATTTGCCAATAAAATTATTAGATGATATTATTATATTTAACCTATCAAACCATGACAAAATAAAACTTTCATTCTGTAACTTTCTATTTTGATTATAAAATCACCTTTGCCCTAACTCATATCAATCAGTGTGGTATTTGGTGCCATGATATGTTTTAAAATTTTCGATTATAATGAATTTTATAATAACTAATGAATAAATAACATAATGTTTACCTCTTCACCACTTTCTCTATGCTTTCCAAGTTTAACTTTTCCACATGCACCTTCTCCCAAAGTCTTAGTCAATAGATAAGGTCCAAAAAGATCTATTGAATTTAAAATTATTCAAGCATGAATATTTTAAAAGATAAAAAATAAATATTTTAGTGTGAATAATTTTTTAAAAAAGAAAGAAATATTAAAGTATAAATATTTTTTTAAAAAAAAGAAAAAGAAAAATATTCAAGTGGGAATATTTTTTGAAAAAGGAAAATATTCAAAGCAAGAATATTTTTCGAAAAAGAAAAATATTCAAGTGGAAATATTTTTTAAAAAAAGAAAAATATTCATGTGAGAATAAGTTTTTTTTAAAAAAAAGAAAACTATTTGAGCATGAATTTTTTTAAAAATGAAAAATATTCAAGCAGGATTATTTTTAAAAAAAATGAAATCAATTTTGATTATTCTTAATATTTCATTATTTATTCTTACCTCCAGTGGTATTCTTCATTTTATTTAAAAAATTATCAAGAAAAGAATTAGTATTATTATAGATAATGTATAATGCGAGGATGATAATAAAAATTTACCATAGTAGCAAGTCTTGATTCAAAGGTTATTAGAAAAAGGTAAGAGTAAGTTTGATAAAAGCAAATTTTCGAATTTTTTGAATTTCTGAAAAAAAGGATAAAAAAAATAAGTGTGTTATTTATAAAAAATTTTTAAATATTACAGATCAATTATGCACGCGAAATTTTTCTATATATGCATAAATAAACAACAACAACAACAACCAACAACAACAACAACAACAACAATAATAATAATAATAACAATAACAATAATAACAATAATAATAATAACAATAATAATATACTGTTAATATGTCGATCTAGTAATTAAATATATTAAATAAATTAAGCTTTTTATTATTACGTGACTCATTTTTGAGTATTGATCGTCATCTTTCATTTAGTTATTAATTAATTTATGTAATAAAAAAAAAAAGAATCAATTTTTTTTCGTGGGAATTTTTTTTTCCATACAAATAATTTATTTTATTATTTATTGTTTGTTTTATTTTATGCATTATAAAAAATTTCATGAGAAATTTTAATATATAAAAAAAACAGTTTTCGCTTTATGCTTATGTTATTATAGTTTTCGAACATGAACTTTAGCCTTAATTATTAAATTACGTATTATACATATTATTTAAATTGCGAATGCTATTTAATTTTTGTTTTATATGAATCATATTCTCACGTCAAAATTATTATGGGATCAAATAATTCAGATTGTTTATACTTGGCTTCGTTATTAACTCAATTCAATTTAGTTTTGATTATTTTCATACATTTTAAATAATTTATTATAAAAATTTTCAAAACAGACAATACAAATTTAAGAAATGTTTGTCTAGATTTACATTTTAAATTATTGTACAAATTAACTTTACAAATTTAAGACCTGAACAAGTAACAGTAATATTAATATCAAATTTAATGAATTAAAGAATAAAAAAAGGATTTAATGCTAATGAATTATTATATCGAATGTTCGAGAGTGATAATTTAAGAAAAGATTTTGGAGAGTGATGTTGTAAAAGAAGAAATGAAAAAAGGTTACTATATTACGTTTAGTTTGATATGTTAAATAATGTTTCATTTTTTGTTCTTGGCACTATTAACTTTAACTTAAAGTGATATTAATTTGTGTTAAAGCTGTTAAACAAAATATTCATTAAAACTTTATAAAAATTTGAAACTTATTCATTCAAATATAATTTTTGTAATAAATATTATTATCACTACCTTCTTAGTTATGTTTTTACTAATGTCATGGGTTCCAAAGTTATTATCTTAATGAAGCTATCATTATTACATTGTTTGAAATAAACAAAGATTTTATTTCAAAAAAAAAAATATTATAAAATAATGATATTTTGGTTTTATATGATGCAATTAATAAGTAATTTTTGTGTATCACAAAATTTTTTTGTGCTCATCTAATTATTGTTTAATAAAGCCTATTTATCCTTTCCCCACCCCTCATTTCCCATTTTTTCTTAAACACTTCCGCCCACTTTTTTTTTCAAAAAACTTTCTGTCACTAAACTAAAATTATGCTTCTTTCTTTAATAACTAGTTTTTTTTTATATTTTTTTTAGTAGTATTTCTACACGTTCCGATTTTTTTCATCCGTATTCTTGTTATTCTCTTTTTTTTATTATTTATTATGTATTTGTCTAACTCATGAATTTATGAATATGTAACATATATAAGAAGTGGGAATAACAATTGAGGAAAGAGTCTTGTGATGGATTTGCTTTATTTATGACGATGGGTACATCTCACGATGGATGTGCTTTTGTTTTAAACTTATTTTCTTGTGACGGTGAGGTATGTCTTGTTTACTTTTCGTGATTCCAATTTTTTTATTTTTCTCATCTTCACCACATTATTGGAAAGTGTAATTAGTAGTTTATGAATGGATTTAGTTTAACCTATCTATTTCTTGTAGAATTTAATTGAGGGTCAAATAATTTTGAGCAATACAACACCACCATATAGTCGATATAGTTGATGTGGAGATAGATGAGGTTCGTCAATGAAGCTAGGATTAAACCCAAATAATTTCTTGCGAAAAAATATTCTGAGTATATCCCTGAACCCTTGTTTTAATACTAACTTATTTGTTTTATTGTTATCTCATTTTATTGCTTAGCTTATTAACAAAGCTGAAAATAATTTTTATTATGTCTAACTGCTTGTTATAATTTTTTAGTTTGTATCGATTTCCATTGTAGCCATCATTTTGTAGGATGATAAATGCTTCTGAAATAATTTTATTGAATTAATTTTTAATAATTTTTTTGTGGATATTTACTAATAATCTATTCTTATATTCATATATCTACTCTAGATTGAATTTCATTGATGATTGATGAATTGAAGAAATTGATGAGTATGTTTATTCACAATTGAAAGATATAGACACTAATATAATCACATCATAAACTTTTATTCTATAAATAGTTTCTTTAGGATAGGAAGGTGTGTCATTTCCTTTTTATGTTAATTTTTCTCAATGATTAACAACTTTATTTTCAATACAGTAAGAAACTACGTGCATGCAATTCATTTTATAATGTAATTTATTTAATATTTAAATAAATTAATTGTTTTGTTGTATTTGCATTAATTAAATTAATTTTTAATTATTATCACTTTGAGATTGTATAACGAAATCTCAAAAAAAAAAATCATTGCTACATTTTGAAGCTGCTAAAAATATATATTATTTTTTATTTCGCGAAGTAGCCCCTCTCTCTACACCGGCAACTCGGTTCCAACTCTTAATCGAATTCCGCTTGATCCAACTGTACAAAAATTTGAACGTGTTATTTTGGCTTTCAATATGAAATAAATAAATTCGTACCAAGAAGTGGAGGCACTATTAATTCTCGGGATATATAAGTGTAATAAAAATTGGAAAATCTTAACCTGTGCACGAGGGTATAGATTCTTATACCCAAAATTCATGTATCACATGAAAGACTATGGACCAGTGAAATCCACCGAATAAGGATCCTAAAAAAAATTTGCAACTCATCGCATGAATCATATAAGTAATAATTTTATCCTTTTCACGGTACGAAGGTAAATGCGGATAAATCTACCAATTTTAAAACTCCAGTAACATATGGTTCATATTATAAAGGTGAGAAAGGCGAAGAAAGAAGATAAGAAGGAAAAAAATATCAGAGAGTATAATATTTCGTTAGATGATTATTATATTATTTCTGCTGCATGATAGATTTTTAAATTATCGAGAAAGGTAGAAAACTGTGAGGAAAGGACAAAAAGAAACAGTTAAACAATGATATGAACTTAGATATCATTCATTAATTTTGTCATTTTCTATGATCTTTCCACGTTGAACTTTCATTTCTTGAGGAAGTTGAAGCCTAAATAAGCTTGAGTATTGGCGTACTGTAATGGTTTTCTAGATTAAAGTCTTAACAAACATAATATGCAGCCTACCAAAGGGAACAAAGGAGGAGGAGGAGTAAGAACTATGGAAAGAGAAAAATGAAGGTATATAAAGTAATTTTTTTAATTAATGCAGATGTGAGTTGTAATTCATACTTGTTAGCGAACATCGTATATCAATGTTAACGAGCATGTTATTTATCATTATTATTTTTTTATAGCACGATGACGATTATATATATACAAATGGAAAAATGGAAAGGAGATTAATATTTTCAGAAAGAAGAAAAAGTTACCAAATATTGATCCAATATACTTTTACGAATGAAAATATTATCAATATTACACCAAATATTTCCGCTCAAATATTAGAAATCATTCTCAAAGACAAAAAACCATTTTATTACTTTAAATGTTTAATCAATTATACTTTACTCAATTTATAGATATAAAATTTATATGTATAGTGGAATTTTTGATAATGTGGTGCGGATATAAAACTATTTATGAATCAATTGTCAGAAAATTAGAACTTCTTTGGGTAAGAACTCGTTTCTCTCTTCATTGTTTGGTTATAATGAGATTAATTGTTTGTTAAATATCAGAATTTAATTTTTTAATCAGAAGATTTCACGTCACTTCAAGAAAATTTGTTTAATTTATTCAACCTCTTTTCAAAATAGAAAGTTTGAGATTATGCTATAAAATGAGTAATTGCACATAATCCGTAGATTTGAAGGAATAATCTAAAGAAAATTGCGAGGCTTTGGAAATAACTCTACAACAATGTTCACCACTTACTCGATATTTCCTTATTCTTAAACAAAGATATCTGGAAGTAAACCTTACAAAAAAATCTTTGAAGAATAGCTTTGGTATGACAGATCTTTCATTATGGATTGATTAAAAATCGACATATTCTTTAAAAATATTCCTTATGAATTTCAATTAATTCTTCGATAGTTTCATCCCAAGACATTTTGGAACATGCGTCATGGACATGCTGGCACAATAAAAGTTGTTAAAATTGCAGGAATTGCGAAATTGTTAGAGGCTATAAGCCTTTAGCTTGGGATAATTAAAAAGGAGGTAGAGATATGAAAATGAAAGATAGTTTCATTTTTTCATTAAAGGATAGAATCCTATTAATCAGAATATTTATGATCCATTACGTAATTATGATCCTATTTATTGTCTTATTTATTATGAAAAACCTACCATAACAACCATTGGAAAATTTTCTATAGTAGATTGTGAAGTATTTGGGATTATCGTTATTTTTTAAGAAGCACCATTTTTAGTATCATTCACCATTTTTAGTATCATTCACCATTTTTAGTATCATTTGCCATTAATTGGTATTTGTATTTATAGCATTCTTTTTTAAAGGGTAGCTTTTAAAAACGCGTGACATTTTGTTTTTTTTATTATGATACTTAAAATCAATCCAAAATGTTCAAGTTTAAGGTTGAATTATTATAATAAAATAATATGAAATTAGACCGCGTTACGTTGATGATTATGACTGCTTAAATTAATATAAATTGTCAATTCGGGGTACCAACTGGACAAATTATTTCACTTCAAATGCACAAATCAGATTTATTCTTTGCTTCATCATTTGCTCAATTAAGTTTTATTCGAATTTGTGGTTGATATTGGTTGTCTTCAAGAATTTATTATAAAATTCTCGTAAAACCCGATACATATCTAAAAACAATTGTTTCGATTTGTTTCCAACAATGATTTGGATGAATCAAAAAGATTTTCATTTGATCGTGGAGGAAAAGATTTGATACCTATATAAAATGGCCACGAATGTGCCAGAATCACTTGAAACTATTAAAATTAAAATAAATTATGATAATAATTGGCCAATAGTTTAAGAAAATTTCTTTGATAGGTGATATTATAAAGGAGGAGGGGGAAATAAAAATATTATTTTAAAATGTACAGAACGATGCACGACGAGTATTTTAAAATTATTGAAGAATATGTAATTTTAAATAAATTTAATTATACGCCAAACCTAAGAAAAAAAAAATCAAAAATAATTCAAAGTATCTGATGATTATAAGGTATAAAAAATTTATTCATATTTGGAGATAATTAATTTTTATTATTATTAAATAGTTTTTTTTAGTGATGTAATTCTTAAAATTCAAACTCAAAACAATAAATATTAATTGTTTAATAATTAGTAAAATATTAAATCAAATTAATCAACTAAATTAGTTAAAACTGAAGTTAATAAAATCTCCATATTCCTCGGTCAGATCATATTCTTCTCTAAATAATTGTTAAAGTATAAATCGATTTATAAAATAAATTAATATATATTAAATATAACCATTAGGTAGATAGATTTCATTATTTAAACTACGAAAACTTGTATTTAAAAAATGCAATTTTATTCAAATATATCATATAAAAAACTATTAAAGTAAAACAAGATAATGAAATGAAATGAAAAAATAATGATAAGTATTATTCTTCATCTGCTTCTTCCATAATACTTTCCAAGCTGGTATATCTTTTCGAGATCTTATCCAGCTTTTTTTGTCTTCCTTTGGGTACCAATGGAGAATTTATAAGTCCTAGAAATCAATAAAATGTCATTAGATATATATAAGTTGAATTAACCAATACATGAATTTTGATACTTACGATGAGCAACATTCCCATTATTTGATTCTTCATTATCTATTTCATTGTCCGTTTCTTCGATAATGCTCTCTAATCTTGCATGTTGTTTTGAGATTACCGAATGTCGCTTTTGTTGTTTTTCTTTGATTGTAAATGGTGAACTTACAAAATTTTTATTTTGTTGGAATATTTGATGTTGTGAATGTGAATCAACTAGAAGTCAAAAAAAAAATTAAGTTTGTTTAAATTTTTAAATGATCAATACACAAAGTTTGATACTTACTTTGTTCATTATTTGCTTCCACATATTGATCCATATTTTCACTTGTTTTTTGATTTTCCTGTTTTTTAATTTTACTTTAAATAAAAATAAGTTAGTAACTCCTTTTCGTTTTTAAATATATATATTTTTAAGAATACATACAAGTGTTTTTCGGATATTAATAAGATGACAGAAGCTGAGATTACTACAGCACCCGCAAGAGCAGTTAAGGTTATTGAAAACAACATTCTTGTGAATATAAAAGAAAAGATAAAATTAACTAGCACAGTCAAATATGAACCAAAGATAGACAATAAAAAAATTGTTTTACGTTAAAAGTACCTGAAAGCAAAGTTTTATAATAGGCGAAGCCAAGAGTTAAGAGTAGTATGTAAAGTAAAGAAACGTGTATGGAAGATATGAATAAAAGTTGTATTGGTGAGTGTTGAGAAATAAAAATTCAAGATCAAGTAAATAAGTGCGTGTCTGAGTGAGTTTACTTTTTTATTTATTTTGATCGGCAGTGCATGATAAACAAATTCTTATTTTTTTTAAGTGTTACGTGATTTTTATGTATTACATTTTTTAAGAGATGATAAATTGTAAATTAAATTAAATAATCCATTAGATTAAACATATCAAATTTTATTTATCTCAAGAATGAAATCCTAGAATAAATTAATTTATTTATAACTAATCGATGCCATTTTTTATTTTGTAAAACATTAAATTTCAAGAACAAAGAATCATTGTGAGAAAAGTAAATGAAAGAGGTAAATCAATGATATTATTACAGATATCATTCATTAATGCTATTAGGAGGAAATTGAGGCCTGTTGTTTACTTGAATTAATTTTAATTTGAATTAAAGGAGTTTGAATCTATTGAGAATCATATCTTTTATTTTATTAAGATACTAATAAATTGAAAAATAATGAATTTTACATATCCTTATTCAATATTCTCAGGGATCTTGGACTTAATAAAAGTATTGTATTGTGTGAACCTACAAATAGAAATTATAATATTAATTAAAGTTTTACTTATCTTTATTCGATATTCTTGGGATCTTTGAACTTTATCAAAATATTGCATTGTGTGAACCTAAAAATAGAAATTATAATAATTAATAAAATATCTTAATGAACAAAGGTCAAATGCAAAAGATATTCCCTACTGAAAAGGGAAATTTCTATAGCAGGGACATCATGTGTATGATGTGATGATCTTATAATTAACCAACCCACTACTTCTTTTATAATTTTTCACCTTCATTCAAATTTACCCATCATCCTTTGTACTTCATCCTTCATCCTTGTACTTTCATCCTTCATTCTCATACATTATCTTTTGGATGATAAAACAAGTTATTATTCTAATACAATCATCTTAGTGTTATCATTTATCATCTCCCATGCTCATGAAATTACTTTACCACAACATAATCAATAATTATATTAAAATATTAATAAATCAAATATATTGAGATAATAATATTTTGCATTTATTTATTATCTTTGTTATAATATATTTATTTATTTTATTAACATATTGAATTCACTATTATCTCAAATTGCATTTATACTAATATAACCCAAAGAAAATTATATTTTCTTTCAAATCAAACAAATATTATTTTTACTTTCTAAATAATTTTAAAAATGTTATCATCATTATTGATAATTGATTTTTTTAAAAAGAGAATTCTTGATCATCAAAGATAAGTTTAGTAAAATATCTTACTGTATTTTCGAAGATGTAAGAAAATAGAAAATGGGTGAAACAAAATGAAGATGAGGTGTGTGAGAGAATTTTAGAATTACTGATTTCTCATATGCCATTTTCATTTTATGGTACTGTTAATTAATATTGTGAATGAAATTTTATTTAAGAAATCAAAGGAGAATACAATAATCTCAACTCACTTTTTAATAATTTTTTATAAATGGATTCAGAACTTTATATTTTGTTTTATCTTTTAAAATTAATTTATAGTTGAATTCTTTTCAGCAAGTAAAACTCCTCAAAAGAACTTCAAACTCTGTGAACCAACAAAAGTATAATATTAGCAACTATCTTGAAAATAAATAATTGTGTGGTGTTTAATTATTAAAATTCATAGATTTATTCATTTGAAAATGAAATTCAGAAATATTCTTTAACTTTAAATACAATTGTTAATTTTTGTTAATTATTTACAGTATAAACTGAAGTTTTAAAATGGTTGTTAATATAAAAAGTTTATTGTAAAAATGAACTACAATAACAAGTATATTCCTACTTGGTGAAAGATTATTACAATCATTATAATATTATGATACTTTCTTTATCATTAATTATGTCATGCAAAATAATAGTCACATTAATAATATTAATCTAGTAAGAGTTTATGAAAAAATAATTTCTATAATATTTATAATATTATCATCTCTTTTTAGGAACTAGTCATGACACCTTAAGTGGAGTGTGTGATTGGCTAATACATTTATGTTGATTTGAAATAATAACAAGACTGCACATAACGTTATTGGTCACCTCACTTTGATAATGAATTAAAAATACTCATTACGAACAAAAATCATAACAATACTTTTATTAAACCAAATAATTCTGTAATATTCAAAATTAATCTTACTTTAAATTTTAATTAATTATAATATTTAGTAATTACTAGAGAATGTAATGCATCATTTATAAAATTTACAGACCTATTCCTTAAGAAATAAAGGAGTAATTGACAATCAAACTTTTAAATTAAATCAGCTACAATTTGCTCTATCTTAAGAAATATGTCTGCAAATGTACTACATTTTCTAGTTTAAGGTTAGTTAAATATTTTTAAATAATCGCCAGCTATATTAAATTCTATTTAAAAATAATTTTTGCATCTTGTTAAAAACATTAGTCGTGCAACATATAAAAGTACAATATTAAGCTATAATATATAAAAAATATATTAAGTAACCTTAAATTTAAGAATGTAGTGCATTATCTATAAAATTTGCAGACATATTGCTTTAAAAATTGAGCTAATGATAGGTGATTTATTTTAAAAGTTCAATTAATTATTCTTAAAGAATAGGTCTGGAAATTTTACAGGTGATGCATTACATTCTTCAATTTAAGGTCATTAATATAATTTTAATATTTCATAAGTGAGAAAAATACCTATACGCTACAATGCATCCTTTTAACAATTATCAATTTAATCGTTATCACTACAACATATTAAATTGTATTTGTGTCAATTATAATCTATCAAAAATAATATTAAATAATCCTATATTAGAGAATGTATTGCATCGTCTGTAAAATTTAGACCTATTTAATATGAATTGAGCAAATTGTAGCTGATTTGATTTAAATATAGAATTGTCAATTATTTCTTTAATTAAGAAATATGTCTGCGAATTTTACAGGTAACTCACTACATTCTTTAATATTAAAGTCATTCAATATCGTTTTAATATTTCATAAGTGAAAAAATTTTTATTTGTTACAGCAATCATGATATGTTAAATTCTGATTAAGAATAATTTTTTTCATCTTTTTAGCAATTTTTAATTTAATCGTCGATAGTTACGATGTATAAAGTTATTCTTTTACTTATAAACTATCAAAAATAATATTAAGCAACCTTATACTAGAGAATATTATTGCATCATCTGTAAAATTTGAGGAACTATTTGTTAAGAATTGATCAAGTTGTAACCAATTTAATTTAAAAATAGAATTGTCAATTATTATCCATTTCTTACGAAATAGGTCTTCGAATTTTACAGGTGATGCAATACATTCTTTAGCTAAGGCTATTTAATATCTTTTCAATATTTTTTAGGTGAAAAAATACTTTCATATGTACTACGATCACAATTATGGTAAATTAATTATTAATTTAATCGCGATCGTTACAACATATAGAATTTATTTTTTATTTATAAACTATCAAAAATCATATTAAGAAACCATATACTAGAAAAAGAAATACATAATTCTTAAGAAATAGCTCTGTAAATTTCACGCATCGAGTAAATTGTAGCGATTTAATTTAAAAATAGAATTGTCGATTATTTTTTCAATTTTTATAGAAACATGGTTGTAAATTTGCAGGTGATGCACTTCATTCTTTAGTTTTAAGGTCGATTAATATTTAATATTTTTAATATTTCATAACTGAAAAAAAAAATTACTTTTATATATTGTAATGATCACAATCCTATTTAAAATTGATTGAATCCTATATCTATTAATAAAAATTTAAAAATTTTATATCAAAATTATAATACATGTACCGAATATCTAAAAAGAGTAATTATAATTCTAATAATTACAACAATGTTGACAGATAATAATAATAATAATAAAAGCTAGTTATTACCCTTCAATGAATCAAAATAAAAAATTATAATTTTTATTCATTTAATTATTAAAAAAAAAAATATTTCTCAATTTCCTATAACTATATCAATATATATTTGCAATAGAAATAATTAATGTAAAGATGAACTTTAAAGCCAATTTTACAAAATGTAATCATATAATAATTTTTAAATAATAATGATATTTAATTCAACAAGAAACTTTACACGAAATGTATAATTTGTCTAAGTTCCTTAGGGTTCCGGATTTTTATTAAGAAAATATAGAAAAAATATAAAACAAAATAAATTGAGAGATAAAGAATAAGATATGCATGAGATATAACAAATTTATATTAAAAATTTTTTAAATAATTTGAATTTATATCAAGAATCTTCGTGCAACATCTAATATTTTAGATCGATCTAATAAAATAAGTTATGTGAAAAATAAATATAATAAATAGCCTTTTTCAATTCTGTAATTATAATAATTCAAAATATAAATTAACAGAAAAGTATTTAATTAATACAATTTAGATCATTTTGTAAAAATAGAAGTATAGAATTTATTAATAATAATAAAATATAAAACTTAATAAAATATCAATAATTCAACTACATTTTAATTCAAAAATATATAATTTAATTCAATGACTTGTTTCAAATATCTTTTAAGATTATAACAACAATTCAATACTGTAAACCATTTTTTTAATCTTACAGCACAAAGTATTTCATTTAAAAAATTCAAGTTTTGCTTACAGTGACATGCAAATTTAGGATTTAAATAGTTTAAATATGAAGATATGAAATTAATTCTAAAACGTGTAACATATTGATAACAAAATGTATTAAAATCCAAAACACAAAGAACACGTTTATAACAAAAGGAACAAATTAAGTATGGAACCTTTATTAATAGCAATTGAACACCTTGACACTAAATGTAAAAGGAAAAAAATTATTTTTTTATCACCCAGAAATAGAAACTGGAAGTTTTTGATTACCCAGGATGTATAAAACTGGGTTACCTTTAATTATCCAGAGGGAGTCAGAGAGAGCCAGAGAGAGAGAGCCACCAGAGAACTTCAATGTATTATAAAAATTGGGTTAATCTGCTACTCCCAAGGAATGCCAGAGAGCCAGAGAGCCAGAGGACCGAAGAGCCAGAGGACCGGGAAGCCAGAGAACCGGAGAGCCACTAATATTGGTGTTTAGAAAAATACTAATCTTGCTTAGTACCCGTTTCATTGAACCCAAGCTGACCATTTGTACAAAGACGAAACACCCCAGCAAAAAGCATTTTTCATCGATAGAGCATTTCTGCTCCACCAACAGCGTAAACAAATACTAATAGGAACTCAACAAATACTAAGTAAGCAAATATACTTACAAGGGATAAATTTTCTCAAGGAATGCCGGAGAACCGGGAAGCCAGAGAACTGGGAAGCCAGAGAACCGGAGAGCCACTAATATTATTGTTTAGAAAAATACTAATGTTGCTTAGTACCCGTTTCATTGAACCCAAGCTGACCATTTGTACAAAGACGAAACACCCCAGCAAAAAGCATTTTTCATCGATAGAGCATTTCTGCTCCACCAACAGCGTAAACAAATACTAATAGGAACTCAACAAATACTAAGTAAGCAAATATACTTACAAGAAATAAATTTCCTCAAGGAATGCCAAAGCCACCAGAAAGAAGTCTCAAACTCATTTAATAGAGTTAGTCTCTTCTCATTTAAAAGACTAGAGCGTCTTTATACATAAAGTTTCACCCGCCCCACCATTACGGCTAGGGAAGAAGCTCCCACCCTCGCTTACTTCTGTGCGGGTCACCACAACAACA